CTTGGAGGGCAAGGTAGCAACTTGGTAGCCCTGCTCCCTGGTCTCCCCTGAGTCCCAGTGCTGTGCTGCAGAGCAGAGGGTCCCCTTCTGGCCTCTCCCGCCCTCTAGAAGTACAGATCGGGACATTCTCTCACCGGCCGGAGTGTGTCCATGGGCCCATCCGTCCTGCAGAGTGACCAGCTTCCTGACTCAGGACCTTGCCATTCCCCCATGGGACCCCAGAGTGCCCCTCCTGAGGACCTCATCTTTGTCCGACCCCAGCCCCGCTCCTCCTCCCCCTGCCCACACCTGCCCTCTGTGTCCCCTGTCCACACTCTATGCAGGACTGCAACAGTACCCTCGGTCAATGGCCAGGACTTCTGCCTCCGTGTCCACAGGCGTCATGCAGTGCTACCAACAGTGCCTGCTTCCCTGGCTGTCCCTTTGTCACCAAGGTTATGAGTCACCCGGGAGCTCATGGGGGCCCCTGAATCCAGAGCAGCCACTCAAATGTGAGTATGAGCTCCGTGTCCTCGGGGTGGAGGTGGGGGTGGGAGTAAAGTCTCGAAAATTGAAGCTGGAGTTTTTTGGGGGAGGATTTGGGGGTCACATCTGGTGGTGCTCCGGGGTTACTCCTGGCTTTGCACTCAGGAACTACTCCTGATGGTGTTCGGGGTGCTGAGTATCAAACCTGGTTGCCCAGATGCAGGGCAAGTATCCTGGCCGCTGTACTGTCTATTACTCCCGCCCCAGAAGCTGGAGTCTTAACCGGGCAATTTAAGCTACCGCGTCACCGAGTCTGTGGGACAACCTTCCAAGCTGCAGAAAGACTGTGACACAAAAATCACGTCAAAGTGGAAGCTGTGGCTCTTCCAGATAGCACAAGACTTCAAAGACTTGCTGTGGGTTATCGTAAGGTCACTGACTATCAGAAACAGGTTCCTCCAATCAGAATATTAGCAAGTTTTCTTAATTCTGGAAATGTATGTAAGTCTATAGTGTCCCCGGCCACAGGACAGGCTTTTCCTGGGGCATAGATACCCTCACTCAGTGAAGCGCCCCCCCGCCCCCCCACCACACTGTCCCCTATCAGAAACCTCAGAGTGAAACCTGTTCGCATCCTGCAATATTTGAATTCATTTTGATTGGAGTATCCCAGAGCCATGCTGGACTCTGGATGGGGCCTCCGTACACGGAGATGTCCCTGCCCGCAGCGCTGGCCATGCAGGACATTTGTCCTGCTCTGTTCCAGATAGGAAGGCCAATGTCACACCATGAGGCCAAGGGTGCCTCGAGCAGCATTGCCAAGACTGCAGGCAATTCTGAAGTAACGACCACCATGAGCGGTGAGTCTGGGTGGGAGAATGGGTCAGGGGACAAGAAGATCAGCCTTGGTTTTCATGGCCACCAGAGCCAGAGTCGAAGAAGGACATGGGGTGCTCTTCTGGGGCTCAGCCTGATGTGCTGGGGTATAAAAACGTGCTTCCTTTTTTTTTTTCCTTTTTGGGTCACACCTGGCTTTTGCACAGGAGTTACTACTGGCTCGTGTACTCAGAAATTACTCCTGGAGGTGCTTGGGGGACTATATGGGATGCCCGGATTTGAACCCAGGTTGGCAGTGTGCAAGGCTAATGCCCTACCTGCTGACTATCACTCCAGCCCCCCAAAGTGCTTCCTTTTGAGGCTTCACCTTTTCCTGGTAGGGGTGGGGGCAAATGACCAGCAACTGCTGGCATAGCTGCTCCCCCAGCCTCTCTGTACATCATTACGATGTTGCTAAGGAAGCCAGAGAGATAGTACAGCACGCAGGGCACTTGCCTTGCATGTGGCCCATCTGGGTTTGGTCCCTGGCACTACATATGGTCCCCTGAGCATTGCTAATAGTGATCCCTGAAAGCGGGGCCAGGAGTAAGCCCTGAGCACAGGCGAGTATGGCCCAAAACCTTAAAAAGAAATGTTGCATGGGGCTGGAGTGATAGCACAGTGGGTAGGGCATTTGCCTTGCATGTGGCCGACCCAGGTTCAATTCCCGGCACCCCATGTGGTCCCCTGAGCACCGCCAGGAGTAATTCCTGAGTGCAAAGCCAGGAGTAACCCTTGAGCATCTCCGGGTGTGACCCAAAAAGCAAAAAAAAAAAAAAAAAAAAAGTTGCAGGGCCGGAGCGGATAGCACAGTGAGTGGGTAGGGCATTTGCCTTGCACGTGGCTGACCCAGGTTCAATCCCCGACATTCCATATAGTCCCCTGAGCACTGTCAGGAGTGATTCCTGAGTGCAGAGCCAGGAGTAACCCTTGAGCATTGCTGGGTGTGACCCAAAAAGCAAATAATAATAATAATAATAAATGTTGCTACTGGGGCCAAAGAGAGAGTCCAGAGGGTACGATGTGTGCCGTGCACCTACTTTGTCTTGAGAGGGTCACCCCCTGTGGTATTCAGAGCCAACTCCTGGATCTGTGCTCTCGAATCATTCCCTGAGTGCTTGAGGAGTCACATATGGTGCTGGAGAGTGAATTCGGGTTGGCTGCACGCGAGGCAAGTGCCTTTGCACCCAGTTTGACCCTGGCACCAGATGGTCTCCTGAATTGGTCCCAGTAATCTCAGGCCCTCAAATGGAATCCTTCTCCTAGTTGGCCAAGAACTGCAAGTATGCCGCCTGGGTTCCCTGAGCACCGTTTAGGAGATGGAAAAAAAAAAGTGTATCGAGGGCCAGAGAGATTGTTCCAGATGACGGCACCTGCCTTGCATGTGAACCCAGTTTGAGCTTCAGTGCAGGATCTCCTAAGCACACCAGGAGTGAGCCCGGAGCACAGGACCACCAGAAATAGCCCCCAAGGGCCCCCAAACAGTTCACCCACTCCCCCAAATTAGGGAAGCTCTCAACAGGTGGGGAAAAAAATAAAGACGATACAACTCTGTACCCTTTCCCCAGGGAGAGATGGAAAATTGCACTAGCCTGACAGAGCCTCCATGAGCACTGGGAAGAGAGCAAAATAACCATGTGGCTCCGCCACACCCCACAGCTGCTGCTGGTGCTATCTACATCGGCCCAAGCATGCACAGCCCCTGGGGTTTCAGGGTACATCTCAAACCAAACCAGGACCATCTCTGACTTCAAGGGGCTTTGCAGGTCCTGCAGGGAGGCCACTGGCAGTGAGAAGCCAATGATCTTCACAAATAGTCAGGGAATTAGTCAGGAAATTGAAAAACTGCGTCATCCCATCATTCCATCAGCTACCCCGGGCTCTTTAGATCAGTGAAAATTCCAAGCATCGTCAAGTTTGGCTCGTCAGTCACCCTGGTCACTTTCCAAGGATTCAGCACCAGGCTGGTGGCTCCCATAATGGATAGCAGAGACAGAGAATGTCCTACCAAAGGCAGAAACTTCTGCTGGACAGCACCACTGCAGGTGCCAACTGTCTTGTTAGTGATCCGTCCCAACTCCTGTACAGTGCCAGCCGCTGCCCACTGATCACGCCACCCTTCATTACACTCAGATCACCAGGAGGACTTGCACCCAGAACTAAACCTGGTGCTGTATCAGTGTCCAAGGCCTGGGGGGCAGGGGGGAAGGGAACGTGAAGGAGAAGGAGGTGTGTGTGTGTGACTCTAAAACCACTGTCTTTTTTTTCTTTCATTTTTAAAATTTTTAAATGAAACACCCTGAGATTCAATTACAGACTTACACACTTTCATGATTTCATTTCAATCACACAATGATCGAGTACCCATCCCTCCACTAGTGCCCATTCTCCACCACCAATGTTCCCAGTATCCCTCCCACCACCCCCATCCCATCCCCCCCACCCCACCTCTGTGGCAGGCACATTTCCTTTTACTCTCTCTCTTCTTTGGGGTGTTATGGTTTGCAATATAGGTAATAAGTGGCCATTATGTTCCGTCTATAGTCTACTTTCAGCACGCATCTCCCATCCCGAGTGAGCCCTCCAAGCATCCTTTGCTTGGTGGTCCCTTCTCTATCTGAGCTGCCTTTTCTCCCAGCATGTAAGGCACGGCTTTCAAGCTGTGGAACGATCCTCCTGGTCCTTATTTCTACTATCCTTGGGTGTTAGTCCCCCATGATGTTACTTTATATTCCACAAAAATGAGTGCAGTCAGACCACTGTCTCAATCTTAAAAGTTGGCTGCAAATAAAACAGAACACAAACAAATGCTGTTCCTGACTCCGCTCCTTTGTGGAGAGAAATTGCTCAACTCCCAAGCCACGAGGCTGGCGATGCCCCCTGCCAGGTCTTGCTGGGATCAGCAAGTTTGGTGTTGCACTTACTTAGGAATCCCACAGCTACCAGCCCTTAGGAACCACACGCGCTGGCAGGCTGGCCCGCTGCCCTCTCTGCTTCCCAGACTGACTCTGAGCACCTGGGTGTGAACCCTGAGCGCTTTCTTCACTTGGCACTCCTGCCCACTCAGGGGTGGGGATGGGGGTGCGGGGACATTCTGCCTTCCAACCGCCGGCGCGATGCCTCGGTGCGAGCCCCGGGAGATAACCCATAATTGGGGAGGGAGTCCTGGGGAGCCACAAGACCCAGAAACAGTGTGCATCCCTGTGGAGCCTGCAGAAACCAGGCTGTTCAATTCACTTCTCTGCTGTTAATTCCAAGGTGCTGCTACTGCGACTTCAAACTGTAATAGTGTCTATAAACAATTTGCACTTTCCGAGAGGCACGGTCCCAGGGGGTAATTAACTAACCCAGGGAACCATCTCTCTAAAAGCCTTTAAAAGCAACACAGATTGAGGCCACCATCCCAGGAAACAGAAAAATCCTCTCTCCCTCCCTCTCTTCCTCTGCGGTTTCAGAAGCTACCTGGCTGGACTATTAGGCTTGGCATGAGCCCTAGGTCGTGGGTCTTCTGGAAAGTTCCTCGAGAGGTCTCGCTTCGACAGCAAACACAGTCTCTCCTAGAGCTGTGAAGCATTTGTGCTGAAGGGGGCAGGCTCGAAAGATGGGCTGAGGTGACAAGAGGGAGGAGCAGGGACCACCAGGGGCTGCGCCTCACTTACCGTTGACTGATCCCAGGTAGAAGACCGAGTTCACCAGCACGCCACCTTTCCGGAAGTGGTCGCTCATGTGCTCCAGCCAGTTGGCATCCAGGCTGCTCACCGTCTGGCCATTCCTGGAGACCCGCAGGGGGATGGTGACGGGGTAGTACTGGCGGGCCTTCTGCTGGCTCTTCGGTTTGTTGAACAGGGCAAAGATCTCCATCTCTGTTGGGGTTTATCAACAGGGTGGGGGAGAAGAGGGGAAATGATGAGTTACGCCGCCCTTGCTGGGTCTCATCTAAAGAGATTACTCCAGATTACTAGGAGATCTGCTCAAGGGTGGGATCCCAACAAGGGTGTGTTCTTCCTTCAGTTAGTAATCTATTTAAATAGTTGTAATAAATCTACTTCTAATATTTCTAGCAGTGTCATTCTGTATGAGCACAGTAAGAGATATAAACTTAGTTTGGTTCTTCCTGAGAACATCTCACTACATTCCGCAGTCCTCAGGCCAGGTTAATCTTCCTAGCTCCAGCAGGGTCCTAGTCTCGTCGTTACTTACTTTTGGATCATGACAGCATTTGTCCATGATCATGCCCTCAATTTATAGTTGAGTATCGTGGCTCTTTGGCCTGGCCCATTTCGATGCCAGGGTAGCTCACTGCTTGCCCTGGGTCCATTCAGCCCCTCGTCGGGACCCTGCTTTTGGGGTGCTAGGAACTAAGGGCAACTGAGTCAAGAAATCAGATGCCCAGGAGTAAATATTATTTGGAGTCAATCAACTCCCAAGTTACAAAGCATAATATTAACTGTCTTCCTGTGTCCATACAGAAAGGGCATTGCTTACAATACAAGTTCAGTGACCTTAGATGGGTGTGACCCGATAAACCTAAGCTACCTGAGGAAGGACAAAAGAGTATTATCCTACAGTGGCCCTCAAGGGTTGAGCTTGAAGCAGGGGGTGTCCGGGGACTTCCCTTTTGGATCTGGCTTCTGAGCAAGAGCTGTGACCTGGGATTAGTTCACCCACTCATAATTATTTGCGAGAAGGACCTGGCACTCATTTCTAAGAATCCGTATCAAAATGTCATTTGGAAACAAGAGCAGGCCTACTGGGCCCGAGTTGTTTTCTCAAAAAAAAAAAAAAAAGTAAATACTGATAAAATTGAAATAAAGTCAATGTGCAGGTGGATGGGGTCTGGGATGGGGTAGGGCAGTGGTTAGGGCACTTACCTGGCATGTGTCTGAGCTGGGTTTATTCCCAACACTACCTGGTGGACTGAGCATTGCTAAGTGCAACCCTGGAGGTCCCCCACACAGCTCGGTGGTGTCCCCAGCACCCACCACAGGGCATGAGCAGAAGCACATTTGTGGGTCCTTGCATTGAAGGAACGACCTAACAAGCTGAGAACCACTGGGGACCCCCTAGGCCTCTTTGAGAGCCCCACTGAAACCCCCCTGAAACACCATGATCATCCTGGGGTACTTGTACACCCCATCCCTATTTATAAACTGCGGTGATGTTTCCTGGGGCTGAACCCACACTACTTACTCAAGTGTATCAAAAAATACATCATTGATATAAATGTGTTCCCGTAAACGAGGGTTTCTGCCTGGAGTGGTCAGCTACTCCAGCAGCCAGGCAGGCACTGGGCTTCTCCAGGGTTGCATTTATAGCTCGGTGCTTCAACAATCAATACTCACTGCCCCCCACCGGCTCCCCCGCGCCGGTCGGTCGTACGTGCTGCCAGCCATGAGCAAGCTGCAGCCGCCTCCGGGAGCGAATACCTGGAATTTCAATCTAAGTCCGAAGGTCTATTTTTGTGTTCCTCATTGAGTCAAGCAATCAAGAGTTCACCCGGCTTCAGCGGCTTTGCTTACACAGACCAGTCAGGAATACGCTTCAGTTTCCAAAAAAGATCTATTTGGATAAGAAGACAATCTCCACCCTTCTTTCAAAGAAATATTTGAAAGGTCATAAACAATGCCTGACACCTGGCCTGGACCCACACTCCAGGGGGGCTGCGTCCCATTTTTCAGGATTTCACAATTCCTGGCAGGAACCAAATATCAGCTGAATTATGACTTTTCTAAACAGACCGACTTTCCTTTATTTAAATAAATGCAGCAAAAAGGGAAACTTAGCCTCGTGACTTGTAAGAGAAACAATGACCACTGGGCCATAAACAGGAGGGAACGATGAGGCACATCAACACCAAATATGTCCATCCATGTCCCAGCTAAAATTATCTCACAGGAGTATTGTATTCAGGGACAAAGGAAGTCCTTCCCCAGCAGCGTCTGAGCAAGCTGTCCAAGGGCCATGGGCAGCAGTGCCAGGCCCTGAGACAGTTACCAGCGGAAGTTCAGCTATCAGGAGAAGCCACTTCCAGGAATCCACTGGAAAGAACCAAAGAGAGAGAAATGTTCCCATCTTCTCCAATTCTTCTGCAGCAGACATCACCTACTCTGGTCCATTCTGTCAAATGGCTTTTCTCCGGGCCCTGGCCTGACCCAGAAGCCAGCTCTAGCCAAGAAATATTTGCATCTGAGAAATCAAGCCTGGGCCCATAGAACTGGCAAACCAGTGCAACTGTTTCATGCCTTCCACTCAATGCCTCTTTTGCAAACCACAACAACCCCAAAGGAGAGAGAGAACAAAAGGGAATGGGGGAATGCTCTGCCACAGAGGCAGGGGCAGATGGGGTGGAGGGGGGGTAGGAGGGATACTGGGATCCGTGGTGGTGGAAAATGGGCACTGGTGGAGGGATGGGTATTGGATCATTGTATAATTGAAACCCAAGCACAAAAATTTGTAAGTCTACAGCTGTACCTCATGGTGTCTCACTAATAAAAATTAAAAAATTAAAAAAAAAAGAAATACAAACTTCAGGACTGGAGTTATGCGGAGAAAGGTATGTAATGGAGTGGAGTCAAGTCAGGCATTGGAGTTGGGTTGGCGGGAAATGGGGCGGGTGTCAGGAGTGAGCTAGAATGATGGGGTGTTTTCAGGTCCTGGTGTTCTCAGGGTTCTTACAAAAGCCAGAGCTACTAAAGGTAAGAGGATAAGCAGTGCTGTATTGGTCCTCAACCTCCTCCGGATTTCTTCAAAAGCAGGTCCTGGAAATTCTGGGTACATGCTGTTTTCTTGGGCAGAAGGAAGGGAGGAGGGATGAGAAGAGGGAAGCCAGGAAAGTCAGTGGAGTGTGAATTCTTCAGCGGCTTACCACTATGACATTAGGGCTCAAGTCATGGAAAACAGAGATGCCAGAGTGACCACAGGTGGGCACACCAAGAGACCAGGAAGTCAGGGTTCTCATTCTTGGTCACTGAGAGTCATTCCTGAGACAGGACATCTGGAGACCTGGGGCCTTCAGGCACACCCTCACTCGAGCGGATACCTGGATAGGAGAGCTGTCCTCTGGTGACCCCAAGAAGGAGGACGAGACACATCTCCGGTGCCAAAACCCATCACAATCAAACCAGACGCAGGCGGGTTATGGAGGGGAAGAATCCCAGCCTGAAGACTCTGTGTGTGTGTGTGTGTGTGTGTGTGTGTGTGTAAGGGAATTGAGAAAGACACGAGGAGGATACTAGGTCAGGATTCCTCACTCATAGGCCCAGCCAAACACAACTTTGCCCCAATAGAATATGAAATAGAGAAAGAAGAAGGTCCAAGGCTGGAGCGATAGTACAGCGGGTAGGGCGTTTGCCGTGCATGTGGCTGACCCGGGTTCGATCCCCAGCATCCCATATGGTCCCCCAAGCACCACTAGGAGTCATTCCTGAGTGCAGAACCAGGAGTAACCCCTAAGCATTGCTGTGTGTGACTCAAAAAGGAAAAAAAAGGAAGAAGAAGGAGGAGGAGGAGGAGGAAGAGGAGCAGGAAGAGAAGAAGGAGAAGGAGGAGGAGGAGGAAGTGAAGAAGGAGAAGCAAGAAGGCAGGGGCGGGGTGGGGGAAGACAGGGCCATCACTGTCCCTCCTCTCCTGCATCTTCCCCAGGGCGGAGACGCCAGCACTGGCATAAACACACGTTCCTGGAAGGAGAGGGAGACACAGGTAGATTCAGGAGCCTCCATGGAGGCACAGGGAGCAGCCTGTGTGCAGCGCACACACTCCCCGGCCCCCATCTCTGCACACAGGCCTCTCACTATGCCCTTGGAAAGCAGCCGGGAGCGGCCATGAAGGGCTCCCATGGTCCCCCGTCCTGGTTCGCAAACACACAGTGCACGCAGAGAGCAGCCCCTGGCGTGCAGAGGTTTTCTCAGCAGCCTGCTGGCTCTGCTGTGACCCTGGCAGGAAGATTTTCCCAGACGTGGGACAGAAAGTCCCAGAGGTGGGGTGGAGGCGTTGCTTCCTGAGAACGTCCTGAGAAGCACTGAAAACTGACCCTCGCACCCAAGCAGCACAGGCCTGAGGACCTTGTATTTCTATTTCTGTCTCTTTCTCGTCCTTCTCCTCCTCCTCCTCCTCCTCTTTCTCTTTCCCCTGACCGAGGCCTCTGCCTTGTCCACTGAGACCCAACTTCCCGGGGAAACATCTGGTCAGAGCAGCTTCAGGGGCCAGACAAGCACCACAAGTGAGCAGAGGAGAGACGCAGCTCTGCAGGGCAGGAGACGGGAGGTTGGTGCTTGGTACTGAGTCCCATGGGTAGTGAGGACTTAGTACAGATGAACCCTGGCCTCGTCCCTGTCAGGAAGCAGGCGGGCCGGACAGCTCCTGGGGTCCCAGGCTGGAGGGACAAAAGGGTTCCTAGTCTGACCCACAGCTTGGGGCTCCCACCGTCAGCTGGGCTGGAAAGCGTCAGTGGATGTCAGGCTTGGCCAGATTGCTGAGCAGGGAGAGCACTGAGGTCTGGGGGTTCTCCTGGGCACCCGAGGACAGGAGAGAAGATGCAAGGCTTGGAGGCTGGATATATGATCCCCAAGGCAGAGTGTGTGCCCTGCAAGCATGGAGCCCCCTTGGTCCCTGGCACTGCACGGCCCCTGAGCACCACCCGTATCACCAGCAGCAAATCCAAAATGAAAATATGGAATTCACGCCCAGAATGAATTCCATATTCATGGAGAGCTCTGGCAGGCAGGAGGCACCGAGAAGCACTGGGCCGTCATGAAGCTCCCCCTGGCTGCCACCAACCATGGGCAGCTCTGGGCCAGGGCAAAGTGTGGGCACAGCTGCACGTGGCTCGGCCCTCTGGACCTACAGGGAGGCTGGCAGCAGCCAAGGGCACACACTTGTCATTCTGAGGGTTCCCCACACCCCCCAGTGCCTCACAGAATATTCCCAGAACTCACTAGAGGGGCCCTTTCATTCAATGCCCACAAGCCTTAAGTGGCTACCCCCCACCTCCCCTGAAATCAAGTTGCTAAGTGGCAAAGCCAAGTGTCTTTCCAGCTCCAAACCCCAGGCTGTGTCCTAAATCCAACAAGAGCTCATTTGATCAGGCGGCCGAGAGCAGGAGCTAGGAGTATGGGGGGCGCTCAATACAGCGGCCGTTAATGGCCTTCGTGGAAAGGGCCAGGAAGAGGGAGGCAGGTCTGGGCAGGAGCAGCAGCTGGGGCAAAATTCTTCTGGAGGTGTGGGGGAATGGGAGGAGACCCCTCCTCAAGGAGAGGTCCCAGATGGAGACGCCAGGTGCTGAGCGTGCGTCCTCTCTCTGCTCAGAGCCCCCTGGACAGCAGCCTGTGGCCAGAGGCACAACTGAGACTCTGCATTTCTTAGCTTCGAATGAGTCAGTGCAGGCCACTCTCGGAGGACACCCTAAGGGGACAAATTAGTGTGACACTGACCCACAGGCCTCCATGTTTCTCTGACCCAAGCAGCAGCCCCAGAGATGTCCAGGGAAGGACCCAGCCATAGTCTCCTGGGAGGCAGGAGAGAAGTGGAGGGCTGAGTGTTGCTTCTTCCTGATCTGCCCACCCCACCTGTTGGCTGCACAGGAAGAAAGCCAGCGGTCCCCTGAGCGCAGAAATGCCGCACGCACAGGATGTGGGGAGAGGGTGTTCACACCCGAGGGGCCAGGTGGGCGGGCTCCCCTGACAACCTGAGGTGTTCCCTGCACAGATGCCCGCCCTGATATCAACCAGCAGGACCTGCCTCTGGACCAGGAAGTCTACCAGCAAAGGAGTGAGGAGTGAGGAGAGAAGAGCAGGGATGGGTCTTGGGGAGCCGGCAGGCAAGAAGGGACACCAGCACCCACCCCAGGCCACAGGCCTCACGAGCCCACGGGAGTGGGGGTGCTCTGCTCCCGGGTGGGGGGAAGTCGGAAGTCAGCTGCCTGGGAAGGGGGTTGTAGTCAGCCTCAACCAGCTCCCCAGGACCCTGGAAAGGAAATCCACGAGAGGAGGAGGTGGGGGGGGGTCCCTCCAGATTCCATTTAATTGTCTTGCTGTGATTGCCTATTTAAGCCCACCTGGCAGAAAGAGGAGGAAAAACACTTCACCCTCCTCAGGGCGCCTGAGAGAGCCGAGCGCTGAGCCGAGCAGGGAGGGGAAGCGGGGACGGACTATGGGAGGTGGGGGAGGGGGGCAGCGGGGGACAGGGGACCAGCGCCTGGACTTCCCTGGGAAGGAAACCACAAGACTCGCCCAGAACAAGATAGGAGAGTCACTGGGGTCAGCCGGGGGCTGTGAACCCTGGGACAGGGCCCGAGGATGTCCTCGCCTCAGGAAGGCCAGACGGCCACTGGGGCGCTGATGTGCAGCGGTTGGAAGGCAGGGGAGGGACGCGTGTCTCTGGGGGTCACAAAGCTCTGTGTGCGAGGTCGTGCCGAGGTGGCCATGGGGACAACTGTCTGTTCGTCCATCCTGTGCCCGGAAGAGTGGTGAGGCCCAAGAATATGTGAGCTGGGAGAAGACAGTCGTGGGCCACCCGCAGAGGAGGCTGAGGGGCCACAAGCTGTCACCTTTGGCGACTCCTGAACACAGTGATGAGGACCGGGTCACATACAGGCCACGGAGAGCCTCTGCCTGGCCAGTGACAGGTGGCGAAACTCCGACATCCTCCCCGAGGGCCTGTTGCCTCTGACACACACACCAGCCCCGAGGACCTGGCCTCCGAGGAGATGGCAGACCCTTGGGAAAATGGGTGACAGGCAGAGACACTGGGGTGCCCAGCGGCATCTGTGCCTTTGGTTTCGGGGGGTTGGAAGGGGAATGAGGGGAGGGGAGCAGCAGCGGAAGGTTCTGGTTGAATCTCCCAACAAATTCTCCCTAGGGTGTCCCTCCCCAACTCCCACCCAGAAGTCAAGAAGTCTGGAAGGCGCCTCGGAGAAAGGGGGTGTCTGGGCCCCGGGGAGTGTCTGAACCCTCCCCAGGGGAGTTTTCGAGCTTCACTGTCCCCTTTCCCCCAGCTGGGATTCCCAGCAGAGAAGGTCAGCAGCAGGATGAGGAGGCAAAGACAGCAGTTCAGGGGTGGGGATTAAAGGGATTTATGAGAACTTAAAACACGCCTCCTGTGTAACCTTTCAACCAGAAGCCGCTCCTGCAGCTCTCCTGTACTGGGGGGCGATGGAGGTACTGCCGGGTGCCCGAAGGTGGCAGAGTAGAACGTCAAGGGCTTACTTGGGGATAGGGTGCGGGTTTGGACCACACCCACAGTGCTCAGGGCTTACTCTGTTCTGCAACTCAGCGGTCACTCCTGGCAGTGCTCTCGATCTAGGCAGATCTGGGGGTGGAATGGGGCCAGCCACAGGCAAGGCAAACATCGTAACCCCTGGACTAACTCCCAAATCTCTGCGTCTCACTTTTTCAAATTTAATTTTGGGCCACACCTGGGCTTATTCCTGGCTCTGCACTCAGAGGACCGGAGAGGGACCAGGAAATCAACCAGAAAAGGAGCGAGGAGAGAAGAGCAGGATGGGTATGGGGGACAGCCTCCAGACCACAGGCCTCAGGAGCCTATGGGAGTGGGGGTGCTCTGCTCCCGGGTGGGGGGAGGTCGACAGTTTGGGAAGGGGGTTGTAGTCAGCCTCAACCAGCTCCCCAAGACCCTGGAAAGAAAATCCATGAGAAGAGGTGAAGGAGGGTCCATTCAGATTCCGTTTAATTGTCTTGCTGTGGTTGCTCATTTAAGCCCACCTGGCAGAAAGAGGCAGAAAAAACATCTTAGGGATCACTCCTGGTGGGCTTATGTGGTGCCAGGGATCGAACCAGAATCAGCTGCGTGTAAAGCAAGTCCCCTGGGGTCTGGCTCTAACCATTGTGCAACCTGCCTCCCCAGAATTTTTGCCCCTTTTCCCTAAGGGTCCCGCCTGTCCTCAGCCTCTCTTCCCATAGTCCTAGACTGCAGGACTCAGCACACACAGTCAAGCAGTCACGGCCACGGGGCATGGATGTTTCTAGAACAAGACTTGCACATTCAAGAGAAGGAGCATTCAGATCTAAATGGAAAAGAAAAAAAAAATAAATGGAAAAGAAAATGCCCAATCCAGAAGGTGACACCCCTTCTTTTGTTACGCCAGTACTGGCCGAAAAGAAAAAGTGATTAGTTCTGAGGGCTTCTCTGCAGAATTCTGCCTTATCTAATGATTCTCTTCTGAGCCTTCTCTGAGGTGGACGGAGGCAGAAACCTCCTTTTCCCATGGATCCTGAGTTCTTTTCAAAGCAGAAACTCTTCCTCATGGATCGAATTTCAGAATCCGTAAATAAATAATAACAGTAACCAGAGGGATGTTGCCTAAAGAGAATCCTGCATGCGAGTCCTACCCTGGGGCTCAGGAAGAACCAGGGGAAGAGCGGAAATGCTGGGGAAGCAGAGGAACAACAGCACCCCATAACCTGTGTGGCGCTTACTAGCCTCTGAGAGCCATTCACAGAAACGCACGAGAGGGCAGTTAGGCCTGCCTGGATCACAAGCCCCAAAAGCCAATTTCCGACCTGGGAACCCTCAGCTTCCTCATCTGGGAAATGGGCCGTGGTTGCAGAGCTCAGCTACATGACAGGGCTATCAGGAGAACAAAGAGATCAGTCACAAAAAGTGTGTGTTAGCCCTAGGACCTGACGCACCGGAAATATTGATGCATGTCTGTTATGTGTCTTGTCTTTGAACTTTTTTTTTTTACTTTTTGAGTCACATCTAGCAATACTCAGGGATTATTCCTGGTTCTGCACTCAGGAATTACTCCTGGCGGTGCTCGGGGGACCATATGGGATGCCGGAGATCAAACCCAGGTTGGCCACATGCAAGGCAAACGCCCAACACACCATACTATCACTCCAGCCCACTGAACCATTATTTGAAATCCTCCACCTACACTGCATGTCTCCTGCAATTCCAATGTGATGAAGAGGATTCGCCTCCTTGGTCCAGTATTCTCTCCCAAGCCCTAGTTTGTCAGCCACATCAACTCCCTGAAATTTGGCTCTTTGGCTCTTCAGCACAATCTCTCCATCACCTGCGTTCCTGATTTCCTTCTTAAGGCAGATAGGCAAAAAAAGTGAACAGAAAGTGAAACGTGTAACCCGTGACACTGAGAAGAGGAGTAGTTTAGGGGAAGTGCAGACACGAGAGGGAGAAAATAAATCGCCCTCTAGAACTGGCTTCACACGTGACAGGTCAGAACAACTGCAAGTCAAGTGCACCTGGCTCCCTCTCCCCGGAAGTCACAACTACAGAAAAAAAAACTGTCAGGAGGCCCAGAGAACCACATCTCTACCCACAACTTCCATTTCTCCTCTAAGAGGGAGCCACACAGAGATACTTACTTCCCGAGACCGGCTCCTCGAGCACTTCCGTCAGGTCACCATCAGGGCCATCCAGGGTCTTGCTCATCCGGTGTGGGGGCAATCCTGCCCCATCTCCTTCTCCGGAGGGGGGTCTGCTGGGTTGCTGGGTCCCGGGGGCCTCCCCGCCTGGGTCCCGGCTGGGCTCTGGGATTCCATCTGTCTCGGCTGGGGGCCCGTCGGGGGTCCCCGGGTTCTCCCCCCGGCACCCGGCAGGTTCTTTTCCAGAGTCTCTGGCATTCTGGGTGCTGTTGGCAGGGCAGTGGTATTGAGGTATGACACCAACGAATTTCAGGCCCTGACCCGCAGCCTCCTGGACCTGTGAGGCAAAGGAAACATAAGGGGCAAGTGAATGGAGATATGGACAAAGGCAGACACAGGCAGGCAGCTGCTGCAAACCTCTCTGTGTGCAAATCGACCAGATGGGCCCGTGGCAGCAACCAGGTGGAATGTGGTATTGATCGGACAAGAAGATGGCATCTACCTGGTTGGAATGTGCCATCTAGTAGGTTGGCTGGTGACGTCACCGGAGGCTCCATGTCTTTAAGGCTCTGTCCACATACTAGTCATGGCCCAGTGTGTGTGTGTGTGTGTGTGTGTGTGTGTGGTTGTTGAGTTTTAGTTTTTTTCAACTATCTTTCTAATGAAAAAAGAAAGCATTTGAAAGGAAGGATGGGCATGTTTTAGAATAAAACAATGAATCAGTCCCTGGTTTTGTATTGTTTACTTTTTTAAATGAGACAAAAATAAAAATAAAAAATAGCCTCTAAAAATGATGAGCTGAAAGTAAAGATGGTTGGAAAGAGGAAGTTTGTTTTGGTGTTACTTTTCCGTTATTCTTCTTTTCTGATGCACCGCCCACTTCCAGCCTGCCAGGCCATCATCTCATCAACATGTCCATAGCACCTAGCACTGACAGCCAGATGACCCTTGGGACCCAAAGAGCTTCCTTTTCCGAGAGAATGCTTTAACAGAAAAAAGCCCTGGGCAAAAGCTGGTGGACATGGTCCTGAGGGAGGAACTCTGGTGAAGACCAGCTCCTTGAACCTTTCCCTGCCCAGAGGCAGGCCGCCAGGGATGTCCATGGATCATACAAGGTTGGGCAGACTTGTTCATTCATTTTTGTATTGGGGTCACACCTGGTGTAGTGCTAGGGGTTTGCTTCTGGGTCTGCACTCAGGGATCATTCCTGGTGGTACTCAGAAGACCACAGATGATGGTGGGGCTCAAATCAGGGTCAGCTATGTGCAGGGCAGGCACCTTAATGCCCGTACCATGTCTCCAGCCTTGATTCAATTTTTTTCAGACTTTAATTCTTTTTTAATTTGAATATAGCACCATTGGTTTATTTCAGGGGCATCACATTCCCACACCACACCCAACTCTGGAGAGCCAACATGTTCCTCCCAGCACACTGTCTAGATTATGGGTAACGTCTCACTTCCTGAGCTGCCTATGGGGGACTCACAGCCTCCCAGATGACTGTGGAGACTTCCCTCTCCCGTTCCTACGAAGGAGACGCAGGCACCTGATGTCATAGTCCAAAGCGAAAAAGAAGTGGAAATTAACAGTGTCAGGAAATCAAGCAAAAGAAGCCACTCACTCTATAGCCAAACCCAGAGAGGCATTCTCAGAGCCGCCCAAGTCTTGAGTCACTGACCCTGACACATATCAGCCCCACCGCGGGCATCTGCTGTCAGCTGAGAATTCGCCAGGAACAGCCGCATGGAGCTGCTTCTCTTAAGGGAGAAGCATTGACGGCTCTCCCTGGATGAACCCGCCTAACATGAGCAGAAGGTCATTCAAGTTCAACACTGCACATTCTAGAAGATGATCAAGTGGTGGCCAATGCCCAGCCTGAAGCGCTCACTGTGTGTAGCCTGTGCTGGACACAGTGAGAGCCACAGGAATGTCACTGCTACCTACCAGACACCTACTATGTGCCGGGCACTGTGCTAAACACCCTACAGATCATCTTCCTTCATCTCATCAGTGACCTTGTAAGGGAACATGGTTCTATCTGGATGAGGACACTGAGGTCTACAGACATTAAGATCACAAAGCAAGGGGGTGGAGAGAGAGTACGATGGGGTTAAGGTTTGCCTGGCTCGTGGCCAGCCCTGATTTGATCCCCAACATTTCATGAGTTGGGTCTTTTGAGTACTGATCCCTGAGCACAGAGTCAGGAATAAGCCCTGAGCACTTCTGGGTTTGCCTATAATTCCTGACCACTGCTGGGTGTGCCCCCTAATCCCAAACAAATCATAAAGCAAGGGGTTCTGAGTGAGGTTGGTCTAGGTTCCAAGTTAATTCTCTTAACAATGAGATCACGCAGATCCACCTCATGGGATTAAGCGCATACACATTCTCAGACAGGTGAGCAGCCACACCTATGCCCATGGCTGCCAACGGGATGCCACGTCAATTCACTCTGCAGAGGTCTAAAAATAAAAAGAAAATCCATCGTTCCTTTCCAAAAATCCATTTCTCCAGCATCATTCTGTGATATCCACCTGCTTTTAAAAACTTTTTTTTTAAAAAAACCTGCAAAGACACTAGAAACCAAAGCTTTCCAAGAATGAGGAGACAGGGACCTGAGTGACAGGTACAGAGGGGAGGACACTTGCCTTGCACAAGGCGGATTCAGACTCAATCCCCGATATTCCATATGGTCCCCTGAGCACTGCCAGGAGTGATTCCTGAGTGCAGAGCCAGGAGTAACCCCTGAGCATCGCCCAGTGTGGCTCAAAAACAAAAAACACAAACAATAAAAAAGAGGAGATAGTGAAACCAAGAAACTATGGGTTCAGGAAAGCTATTTGCAGACAAAGGTCAGTCCTGAGCTTCCTAGCAACACAAGTGAAAAGAGAAAGGATCTGACCTTCCTCAAATGAATTGGGGTCACCTGAGATCACCACGTCTCTAAGAGAAATTTCACTTTCTCTGAAGCATAGAATTTAAAACATGCTTAATTTCCCAGGGATATTACACAGCACATGGCTTCCTTGGGTTTTCGTACTCTGAAGGATTCCGAACCCTGACAGAAGGTGCAGGCATGTGAAGGCCCCGGACTCAGTTCAGTGGGGCGAAGAGGAACTGAGTGAGGGGCGCTGACCGACGTGGGCAGCTGTGACCCACCACAGCATGCTAAACTGGGCAGAGTGGGGGAGTGGGGCCACTTCAGCACAACCTTCTCAGGTTCCCACTGCGGGGAGAGCCCTGATGGACCTCCCCAGTTGGAACCAAACCAAACCAAATCATGCGGCCAAGAGCGTCTCTGGATGGCGGTTGGTTGTGAAGACTGGCTTAACATTTCACTTTGAACATGCGCTGCAAATACGCAAAACCTGTAATGAGAGTAAGCTCCAATGACGCGGCCCCAACTTTCCACACTGGTGAAAAGAATATTTATAATCTCCAGTACTTAGAGAAAATGAACGATGCTCCCCTCCCCGATCCCCCAAACACCAACCACAGGGATCTGTCTCAGGGAGTGTGCCTCTCCCAATCCCGCATGGCTCCTCCCTCTGTGGCTGCAAGAAGGAGCAGAGGGCGGCAGGAATCAGCCCAGCATCAGCTCTGGCTGAAGACTTTGAAAAAAAAAAGCCTACTGAAGACTTGGGAGAAAAAAAACTGGTCCTACTAAGAGCTTGGTCACAGGCTGGTTTCAGCTTGAGTCAAAAGTCTTTGGAGGTTGAAAGGCTTGGTTTCAAGCCCCAGCTGTGTGATTCCCTGGAGAGGGGAGACCAAAAACTTGTCAAGCCAAGCTTTCTGTGTCTCAGTCTTCTCATCTGTGAAGTCAGTGCCCTGTTTTAAGTTCCAAATTTCTTCCTTTTAATGAGTGGTAGGAGCCGTGTGATGATGTCATCTAGGGGCGCTCAACTGCCACCAGTGTCTGCTCATACAAAGGGTCCATGAAGAGCAGGGGCTTAATGCAGAGCCCAGCAGCTTGCAGCAGAAAAATGAATGGACTATTCATTAATCCTCAGTACCATGCCTGCCTGGGAGGGAAGGGGTGTCGCTCCCTTCCGCCCATCTCCGCCCTGGCAGCAAGATGGCGGCCTCCTCAGAGCTTTTTGGAAAGCCAGATATGAGACAGCGGTGATGGGGCAACTGAAACCTCATGGGAAGGGAGGCGTTCCCAGCTCATCCTTCACGCCCTAGGTCACGAGTTGCCCCCCACGAGCGGCTCTCTGGCATGGCCATGGCTCCAGAGCCACAGAAACCAATCTTGTAATTATCTGGCTCTTGGTAGAAATACCTCCAGGTTTAATAAGTAAAGTATCAGTGGCCGCGAGACATCATATGGGTCTCATAACTAACTGTAGAAAAAAATTATTTCACGGTGCCTTTTCAGCAGTCCTGATTGTTGGGTGTAAACTCTAAGCAATAATGGTGCATCTTTTGTCAAAATAATGAATGTAATCAAAGTAGATAGAGTGTTAGGTAGAATGCATCTGCCTCACAGGCATTGGGAGGGGTGGCAGGGGGGTGAATATTGGGGTTCTTGGTAGTGAAAAATAAGTACTGGTGAAGGGAAATGTGTTTGATCGTTGGATAACTGAGATTTAAACCTGAAATATTTGTAACTTTTCCCACAGTGATTATATATATGTATGTATATATATATATATATATATATATATATATACACACACATATATATATATTTAAAGGGTGGACAATTCCTCCTTGGTGCTGCCCGGAAGGTTAGAGCCTGCATAGGGCAGATATGCCCACGGCTCGGCAGAGTGAAGATACCGTGTACCTCATTGCTGTTTAACCCTGCAGAGAGGGCAGAGAGTCCTCTGTCCAGAAAGAGAAGGCCAGTGGACACAGGATATTATCCCCACCCCGTGTCCGATGAGGAGAGACTTTCACATCCTCTGATACATGCCTTTCTTCTACCACATCTTTTATCCTCTATTCTCCTGTACTTTCCAACTTATCTTCTATGCCAGGGGTTCTCCAAGTGCTCCCATCCTAGTGGCATCTGCAGAAACTGGGAACTCATGAGAAAGGCAAATTCTCAAGTCCTGCTGAATCAGAACAGTTTCTGACCAGAAAGTCTGGAGGTGGGGCTCTCAAGATTTGTGATTTATCGAGCCCTGCCTGTGACGGCAAGACAGCCCTGGGTTTGAAAAGCACTTTCTAGAATATACATTTCATGAGGATGGGGGTTTGGGACACTTGGGGTTTCAAATGTTCTATGATGATGCCAACACAGAGTAGGTAACTGATAAGCACCTGATGAATAAATGAATGGACACATAAGTAATGATTGGAAATGTATGTCACCTTTCCCATAATGAGTGGCCA